AGTCCTATTGGCCAGTTACCTCTGGGCAGGAACAGGCCAGGTCCTAATTCATGCAGATGACAGGAATGTGCTAACAAATGGTGTGTGTGTGTTGACTTAAAGGTGGATCTAATGCAACAGAGAAAGAAAAAGAGAGAAAAGAGAATCTGTGGACAGCCAGAGAATGTAACACAAAATATAGTTATAAAAGAAAAATAAAACAACACAAACTATAGTTCTATAAGGGAAACAAACTATCAGTAATCTACATAGATCGTGTGATAGCATACAATGTTAAAGTGAATAATTATAGCCAAATTCTAACAGGAGGACTGGACACAACCAAGTCCTATTGGCCAGTTACCTCTGGGCAGGAACAGGCCAGGTCCTAATTCATGCAGATGACAGGAATGTGCTAACAAATGGTGTGTGTGTGTGTGTGTTGACCTAAAGGTGGATCTAATGCAACAGAAAGAGAAAAAGAGAGAAAAGACAGTCTGTGGACACAACCAGAGACTTCAACATAAAAAATATAGTTGTAAAAGAAAAGAAAACAACACAAACTATAGTTCTATAAGGAAATAAAACAATCAGTAATCTACATAGATCATGTGATAACATTCTATGCTAAAGTGAGTATTTATAGCCAAATTCTAACAGGAGGACTGGGCATAACCAAGTCCTATTGGCCAGTTACCTCTGGGCACGAACAGGCCAGGTCCTAATTCATGCAGATGACAGGAATGTGGTAACAAATGGTGTGTGTGTGTGTTGACCTAAAGGTGGATCTAATGCAACAGAGAAAGAAAAAGAGAGAAAAGAGAGTCTCTGGACACAGACAGAGACTTTAACACAAAATATAGTTATAAAAGAAAATAAAACATTCAGTAATTTACATAGATCATGTGATAGCCTACAATGCTAAAGTGAGTAATTATAGCCAACAGATCCAGGCCTCCTCCTCTCAGATCTGAACACCTGTTTGTTTCCTGCTCTGTTAAATTCATGCACTTGTTTATCCTGAGATTATTCACCCTTTATCCTCCTAAACCCTCTGGGATTGCACGAAATGTTTTCAAGCATTAACTGAGATTGAAGCACCAACCAAATGGTGCAGGTAAGTTAAGAGTTCTCGCTTAATCTTCCTTCTGTCGAGTTTTGAACTTTATTTGATTAAAAAAGCATGTTGGTGGGCAGGTGATGATAAAATCTGGAGATTTTTGCTTTGACATTCAATAAAATGAAGATTTATCCATAATCTGTTACTTTCTCTGTTGATTTTTAAGCACAGAGACATGAAAAACATGAATAATGACATTCGTTATTAATGTAACGACAAGGAAAATCTTGATCTGGGGCAGATCTGTCAGATGTTGTGTGGTTTGTTTAAAGGAGACATATTATATCTTATTTCAACAAGTTAAGCTAGTTCCCTGGTGTCCTAATGTAATGTCTGTGACAAGCTTTGGTCAAAATCCCATAAGGATGAAGCCCAATAGCAGTTCAGTCCCCCTGCCTAACCCTAACCCTAACCCTAACCCTAACCCAAAACAGCCCCGTTCAGAGCGCTTGCTTTAGAGTGTTAGAATTGGGCTATAATTACTTACTTTAGCATAACATGCTATAACTTAATTCATGTAAATGACTGATTGTATTATTCCTTTTAGATTCATATTATTCCATTTATATTTCTACTTTTGGGATAAACTCTCTGGCTGTGCCTCCTCCTCATCCCCATCTCTCTGTTACAATAGATACACGTCTTCAAGGTCAACATACACACACACATTTTCTTATCACATTCCCCCGAAACCTGCATGAACAAAGAGCCTCTGGCCTGATCATGACCAAACTAACTGGCCAATGATGCTCCGGGAACTTTGTCTGTGAGAGCCCAGCGCTGATTTACTTTGCTTGTGACCAATAAATGTCATATTTGTACTCTTGATCTACTCTGGTTTATTCTCAGGCTTCCAACTAAAGAACCGAATCTATCAAGAGTGCCTGTCTCTTTAAATGCAAATGAGACACAGGCAATCCACCCACTTCTTCAGGGAGGTGTGCCGGCGTCGGCACGCTAACGCTACCATGCTAACGCTACCATGCTAACGCTACCATGCCAACGCTAGCATGCTAACGCTACCATGCTAACGCTACCATGCTAACGCTACCATGCTAACGACGTCTGCCACAGATAGGGGAGTAAGCTGAGGGGGGGGGCAACATGCAGGTGAAAGGCTGGAATATTATAATGAGCTAGAGCTAATGAGGTCAGAAACTACCCACTCCTGAAACCTCCTGATTTATCTCCTGGATTCAGACTGAGGCAGCCCACAAAAACATGACTGAGTCATTTTTTTTCCACACTTTGCCTGGTGATAGGCCCTCCACAGTCCCAAATGTACATAATCAAATGGGTTAAAAAAAAAAAAACAGAAAAAACCCCACAG